GGAAGTAAGTAAGTTTGCTTTTTCAATGACATGCTTCTTTTCACAAAACGTAAGATTCGAAAACATGATCAACATTTGTTACGTCGTTGATCAGTCTACTCAATTATATACAGGAGAGGATTTGTGTAGTTATAGGTTAAGATCTTGACACAATAGGCCGATCGGTTTTGAACTTAAGGCTAGAAATATGTGAATCCGAATTAAGACTAACGTCATTGGGTAGAGAGACGAAAGTTATTCTATCACCTGATTGGTTAACAAACGAGTGAGAGATAGAGAAGACGAGCTAACTGGAACACTACTCGATTTGTTCCTAATCCCCAATTCCCGATTCAGATCAGTGTGAAACGATAATATGAATATATAGATGACTATGATGAACACAACGTACAAACCGTTAGAAGATACAATTACATTCAAAACGAGACACTAGAGTAGAAAAATAGAGTACTAAGGGTTACTTCACTTGATATTTAGGATTGTAATTGATCCGTCTCTTATTGGCATATGTACATACTGAAAAAGTTATGGCAGTGAATCATACATCAAACGATAGCTTATTGTTTGTAGAATAAACTAGAGAAAAAACTAAATATTAGTAGGTTATAAGCTTTAAATGAAGTCAAATAAAGTCCCAACGAATAGGTTCGATTGTTTGTCATAACCTCTTTACTTCTCTATTTACATCAATATCCATTGAATACTGGTTATTAGCAGTGGAAAATTCTTGTTTGTCTTGTCGTTTAGTACTAATCAAATTATGTGAAGCAATTTGGAATATACTAGAGACCAGTCTAAATGACTCGATACTGTGTGTGCGATGCTTTGATGTTAGTCGTTTGAAGACGGTTGATAGGAGACATGGTTAGGTTTCAATAAATATGCTATTAAAGGACGTTAGTTTTGTAAGTGATAGACTAAGCGAACACTCAAATTCCATCTTAAAGTAAACGATAATTAAGAAGTTAGTAGTAATTTCAATAGTAGAGATCATGAATCAATTGAAGCTAGATCACCATATAAAACCTGAAAGCACTAAACGGCCGCGAGACCGATAGGCCCTGGGTTCGAATCCCGCGAGGTGGGGCCGTGGATCCGCACTGCTAAGGAGTCCCACAATAGGACGAAACAGGCATCCAGTGCTTCGAGGTTTTCCATGGTGGTCTAGCCCCAATTGACTCATAATCTCAACTATTGAAATTAAAAAATTATCAATGTGAAAATATATCTGAAAAATTAGGTTATAGATTACACAATGTCCAAGCTAATATAACCTTGATTAGATTGGAAAGACAATTGCACATATACCTATGATTGGTGCACATTACACTTAGGTTTCGCTGTTCTCATTCACATATTGAGTTCGGTGATATGTTAGAACATGCATATTGCAACTGAATAGGAATGAATAACACATTAGTGTGGCAGTCACTTGTTAACGAAATGAATACTTGACTATTAAGTTTAACTCTTAGGTTTTACATGATGTTACTTACTAGATCTATATACTCATTTTAGAATAAGGTATCTGTTTGTACATATGATTTATTTATTTTAACACATAGATATTGGTACAAAGAGGTACCAAATACATTTGCGCCACACAGATCTCATTTGATATATGTGAGGGCTGTGATACTGCCCGAGTGCCCAAACCGAAGCAAATGGCTTTCTTAGGGGGCCACACCCCGAGCCTTCGACCTAAAGGTCTAACCTACAAGGCAGTGGAGCATCGTAAGGAGATGCAGTGCCATGGTAGCCGGTGACCAAAAATTGGTTCATACGCCATTTGTTCCTTCAGGATAGTGGAGCCCATGTGCACCATCGGTTTGAGATCCTGTTAAAGCGCCGGACATTCGCTTTTCGTCCTCTCATTTTCGTAGACAACACCCGTGGTGCGAGAAGGCAATGAGTAGGGCTTCCCTTGCAGAGTCTATATACGCGTGGCCATGTGAGAGCATTTCGAGAGGGAGAGCGGACTCCCCCAACTCTCGGCCGTACCAGAGCATTTGGGGACTTGTGCATATGAATGTCGAATCCATTGAACATAATGATGAAAACAAAACTTACCGATGTATTATTACCTATTTGATTTCTTAATTAGACTTATTTGGAACACTTAATGTATTGTAATGCTTAAAGCTTCAAATATGAGTATTGCTCCCCCCCTCAAATCAATGTTCATTGAAATGGTTCTATGCATTACAAGCATCAACCTGTTTATTGATGATATTACAATAAATGACGAATGTAAGTAATAATGCTATACGTAAAGCCACAGAATATAAGACAATAGAAATTGATCAAAGACTGCGAAGGAACAGTTTTTAGCAAAGCCAACACTAAATGAACTAAAAGATGATATTAATCATTACTTAATGATTAGTCGATTAAAAATATACCTCATTTCCATAAGAGAATCCTTTGAGGCTTAAATAGTTCGATGGTAAAATCTAAGAATGTGAAGAAGACGGATATCGGAGAACTAATTTCCTCAAGATCATAAGTACACCTTGCTGATGTATCTCAAATAACACAGAGCTAACTACCTCTAATCATTTAATTACCCAATATATTCTAATGAATAATAATGAGTAGTTAAGACAAATGATCGAATCATTAATTGATCGATAAGATTCGATCTATAATAAAACAGATAGATATAGAAAATTGATTGAATGATTTATGTTATTTAGTTCAATTATAGAACAAATTATTCAACAACATTGTTCTAATCATAGATCATATAATCAATCAAAATTCTATAATGGAAAATTTTCTTACATTATCGATCAGTGATATGAATTATTGATTACTCTACTTTAATTACTTTCTATCAATAATGATGATGATGACAATTTAATTATGAAGTTCCTGATATATCCAATTATTTTAACATGAATGATAAGATAGTCACTTGTTTTATTATTCATCTTGAACTAGATCAAAACAATTCATATTGTGATATATATACTACTGATATCGATAGATATAAGTAGTATGTATCATCATCCTCAGTCGAAAGTGAAATCCCTATAGACAAAAGGTTAAGATAATCGATAAGAAGAGAATAAGAACAGAGAATGATTGATATTGGGAAAGAAAGAACAAAAAAGTCTAAGACAATTGAATGACATATTGCAAATGAAGAATTCACTGTATGGTTCATAGATTTTACTAAAGGATTGTCCCAATGTAGAAGATAAATCTGAAATCTTAGAAACATATTGTATCACCTATGATGTAATCAAACAATTTTAGAACTAACTATTGAAACAATTGATAAATACATGTTTATGTGGGATATATGAAGGAGTAATCGAACAATCAAATCAAAGGTTATGAAACATATGCCCTAGATGGCTTCAAAATCAATGAGTGTCAAATGATCCGATTAACATGAAAGACAGAAAATCATGTTCATTGAAACAAGGCATATAATTGACAATAACACAGCTTTGTAAACTGTTAGGTCCCGACAAACATATTTTTCTGGTTAGCGTTTTTTTAGCGAGTTAGTTTTCTACGGGATGGGGTCGCTAACCCCATGCTCAACCCTCCTCCTTTATCCGGGCTTGGGACCGGCAGTAGCCCCCGGAAAGGGGCTCCAGGCGGAGTTCCCGACAAACATAATGAATGGTAACTGTTGGGATCCATTTATGGATCAATACTATATGTACATTTTTATCGTATAATTGTTGAATAACTAAGCTATTCATATTCATGTCCCTCATATTATGAGCTTTATTTTGACCCATAGACTATTATTAAACGATTTATCATTCTTGAATTATGCCCTGTCTATTAGTCACTACCTCTCACATTCGCAGCTACATTTGGCTAATTCTTGTACAAATGTTGTTTCCTATTTTATGGTACGGTGAGGTCTGTTTGGTTGATTTATAAACCCCGTATGTTTGAAATAAATGGTTCATATTGCAGAGGCTAAGATTGGTGTTATAGACTTAACTGGTTGGTCTAGACACGAAGCAAGGCCAATAAGTACTCTAGACTGCTCTCATGGGTTTTATGCGTCGTTGATCTAGTCGATCATTCACTGCTCTCTAATTGGCAGTATCGTTACGTTATAGATTAGCAGGGCACTTAGGCCACAGTTATAACATAAATGTGGTATAGCAATTGTCAAGGATTGATTATTAGATATATTGAAGTATTGGTTATTTGTAAATTCAAGCTTTCCATTGAATTTATCCAGGTAATCCTTAAGTCATTTTATGGCTTACGGTAATGTGACAAATTTTATTCTTTCTATACGATGTAAAAACATGTTTCTCTCCCATTTATTACCATATTTATTTGCACCTTCATTTTGAATAAATTTTTTCCGGTTAGTGTTTTCTTTGGCGAGTTAGTTTTCCACGGGATGGGGTTGCTAACCCTATGTCCAACCCTCCTCATTTATCCAACGTCAGTAGCCCCAAAGAGGATTCAGGCGGACCTTTATTAATCGTCATATAAAATATCCTTATTTGTATATGTGTGACTAGATTGTTTGAAATGTATAGTGCAAATATATGACATTTTTCAAATGAACTCCAGCATTGAAACAGTTATTTGGTATTGTTTACATGAATTCTTTGAATGATGTTTAAGATTGCGATTGATCAGTCTCTCTCTTATCGGCATATGCGCATACTGTGCGTATTGCTTTAATTCATAAGCTTTATAAACAAAGATGGATAGTAGCTAGTAGTGGAATCAAAGACACACATTTCGTCCATCAAACTGATGAGTCCCAAATAGGACAAAACCTGCATCAAACTAGATTCTCTATTCAGTAAATAAATGAAAACTTTCTAGGGAACAATTGAAATATATTATCTTGATCAAAGATGATGTTATTACTACACTCAAACTTGCATCCATGATAAACAGTTAATCAATCCATCATTCATTCATACATTCATTCATTCACTTACTTAGACCCATTCATACATGAAATGAATGATCAGTGAAATACTAATACATAATGTAACAGTTTATTGTACTTCAGAATCAGTTACTCCTTCTGTTGGATCATCATCATCATCATCACCATCATGATCATGATCAATAATATCTGTCAATGAAAAGAAACAACATACAGAAATACAGAGATTGTATATTCATCATATGAGTTATATAAAACTACTAACTTATATTATACATTTGAGTTCTACCATCTGATTCAGTTATCATGTACAGTTTCCATACATGTAAATCAAGAAGATTGAACATATAGATTGAAGCGTTGAATAAGTGTGAAAATCTTCCTTTAATAACATATTTATAATTTCTCACCCAGTGTTTGATCTTTAGACGACATGTAAAAGCAAATATAAGATATAAGCAAAGATGGATGGTGGCTAGTAATGGAATCCAGGATGCTCGTTTCGTCCTATTTGAAACTCGTCAGCTGGATGTACCTGCATCTCAGAGTTGATGTACACTCTGAAACTCAACTCTTAGATGCAGATACATCTAGCTGACTAGTTTCAAATAGATCAAAACGTGCGTCTTGGATTCCACTGCTAGCCATTATTCATCTTTACTTATAAACTTTGTGACTTAAAGCAATATCGAGACAATACGCATAGTATGCACATATGCCATTAAAAGACTGATCAATTGAAGTCCTAAACACCAATCGGAAGATTCAAGTAAACAATAATAAGTGAATTTACATACGTGATACATTTATATTTTCTCAGCTAATTATTGTAAGGGGATGAAACTATGACAACCATCATCAAAAAGGCACATGTATTTATAAACAGTTGACTACGTATGATACCTAATATTCGTTCGCCGGGCATAATAAACAACGACCTACTGTGGCAGAAGACAAATAAACTTCCAGCTGAAGAGGAAATCATAAAAAAGCACTTTAGGTGGATCGGAAATACATTATGGAAATCATCAAACTACATCATGGGGCAAGCCCTTACCTGAGATTCTCAAGAGTAAAGGATTAAGAAAGAACAAATTACACATTGTGCAGGGAGTCTGGGGGGGGACAGAGTAGATTGGAGATTTCCGATTAGCAGTCTATGCTCCATAAAGGGTATCAGGTATAATTAAGTAATTCAACTAATCACAGGTCAATTCAATAAATTTTTGAGCAATAGTCAACTGTTGATAATAAAGGGTTGGCTTACTGTTACAGTTTATCAACCAAGCAGTCATCATCAACGTAGAATTGAACATTTGCCTAATTTGTCTAAAACATATATCAGTTTAATATCAGACTAATAGGTCCTGGGTTCGAATCTCGAAAGGGTCGAGATAGTAGATGCTCACTGCTGAGGAGTCCCACAATAAGACGGAATGACTATGCAGTGCTTTCAGGTTCTCCATGGTGGTCTAGCTTCAACTGAATCATAATCTCAACCACTGAAAACGTATCAGTTTAATGAGATAAAACAGGTTAAAGAAGAAGATCCTCTTCTGGACCATGTTATTCAGTCAAGTTGTACAATTATATGGGTAAAAAAGAAAGTGGGGTCGTAAAGATCATAATAAAACCAAGGAATTAGCATATAGCTTATGAACATTAAAACCAAATTTGAAACGATGAATTCTGATGGGCTTGCTTACTTACGCCTGTTACTCCTCATGGAGGAGCATAGGCCGCCCACCAGTACTCTCCACTCAACCCTGTGGCTTAGAATCAATATCTTATCTAACTTCTCCCTAGAATTAGTTTGTCTGACTTCGTGAATAAATTTTATTAAGTGGTCTATTCAATATAATCGACCCGAATCAATCAGATCGATTTATTGTTTACACAATCACCTCAGCAGTATCCCATTTTTGTTCTGAATTCATGCACAAAACTTTCCACTTTCGTGAGGGTTCTTTCTTTTAGTCCTTTTGGCCTCATCCTATTGTCAGTGAACTTGAAAGAAAAGCAATTAGCAATCAGCATTTGTTTGATTTTATTCAATTGAGCATTCTGTGCTCAACAGAGTTGAAAATAATATTACGTCTCTCTCCCACTACAGTTATGCCTAACTGTGAAAGCGCTTATATTACCCATTCTGGATCGATATATAGGAAATAACAGTGGAACCGATTGCCGAAATCGTTGAGAAAGATATTCTATTCATCTGAACTAAAGATTATACCCGTTACTTGATACCTCATCCGGATACGTTTCGAGGATAGACTAGGGCTTGAGACCAGCTTGTGTGGTGAATATTCAATATCACTTCCTTAATTAAATAGATTGTAATACATATGATTAAAGTACTTTGACTTTCACTCTTTAATTAATTCTGAAAAGAAGTAAACTCGTATTAGTCTGCAGTATTTCCTATCTCTCGTTTACTAGCTTTTTTATGACCCATCTCGTACTACTTAAATTTAAAAAGTAGTTTGGGGTTATTCATATAATTTTCAGTCTTTCTACAGTGCAATGATTAATATGTGTTTCTTTCAAAAAGTCATGTTCTTTGCTCATTGATTAATATGACTAAGCAGATTAATAATAATTGAAATGAATTTATACCAGTGTTACGTGAATCCACGACAAAAATGACTGATACCCTCCAAAAAATCAGTTTTCATTGAGTTGCAAAATGTTACGAAACAACACCTAACCTATGATTGCGAAAAATTAGTAATTAACAAATACGTTATCTTAGAGGTTAAGTGTTCGTGCGCGAGGTCGAAGGTTCTGGGTTATAATCTTGCTAGCGGGATCGTGGATGCTCACTGTTGAGGAGTCCCATATTGGAACGAAATGGTCATCCAATGTTTCCAGGTTTTCCAAGATGGCTTAGCTTCAATCGACTCGTTATGCAGTTTGATGGTTTCCGTAATGTACGTCCTATCCACTTCCAACCTCTTTTCGTAGTTTTATATTCAGCTGGAAGTTGGACTGTTTTTTCCCACAATAGGTTGTTGCTGATGGTATCCGGTCAACGGACATTCAGTATCTTACGTAGACAATTGTTTATAAATACTTGTACTTCTTCTAGGGTTACTGGGTGTCTCAAGCCCGGGTAAAAGAGAAGGGTTGTGAATGAGGTTGGCAACCCCATCCCGTAGAAAACAACGTTGCTAATAAAACGCTAAACATAGTAAACTGTAAGGATTTGCCTTAGTGTTTTACATTGAATAGTATTTCATATTTTAGTTCGCCTTCATTTGATCTGTGCAGATTCTATTTATTACAAACATTAGGCGAATTTTCAAAATGTGATGTATAATCTATTCTTACTTCCCTTTTACATTTATTTATGGTATTTGCAGTAACTAAGTCTTTGTTCAGTTATCCCTAACCATTTTTATTATTATTTAAATATATAAACATTGGTACAAGGGGGCACAAAATACATATGCGCTACACAATAGCAAGGAGAGCAGTAGCAGTTATAGTTGATTTGTGTGAGGGCTGTGATACTGCTCGGGTGCCTTAACTGAAGCAGGTGGTTTTCCTAGGGGGGCACACCCGGGCCATTGACTTGAAAAATGTAATCTACAACGCAGTGGAACAACGTAAGGAGATGCAGTCTCATGGTGGCCGGTGACCAACAATTGGTTCATACACCATTCGTTCCCTCAGAATCCTGGATCCCGTGTACACCATTGGTTTAAAATCAGGGTTTTCCAACCCTTCTAGGTGAACTCTCCGTGTCCACTAGCCAGGTTAATTCGCCCGACATTCGCTTTTCGTGCTCTCAATTCCGTAAACAACACATGTGATGTGAGAAGGCAATGAGTAGGACTTCCCTGGGAGAGGCTAATACGCGTGGTTATGTGAGAGCATTTCGAGAGAGAGAGAGAGAGAAGGAGAGAGAGCTGCTCTCCCTACTCTCGGCCGTACCAGGGCATTTGTCCAGAAAGACAATTAAATTTCAATATTAAACCATTCAACCTGTAATAAATATACTAACGAAAAGATTCGGCATACTTCAAGTGACAGTCACTAGTTCATTAATATATTTGACGGATTGACTGATTGATTAACTCATTCACCCACCCACCCACACACACACACACAGGCACACATACTCATTTACTTACCTTCTAATGGTGTTTCATTAATATCTTGTTTAATTTGTGATTCAAAAGTGATATCATCATCAGTTTCATTATCAAATTTTAATGTACTTTGTTCACCGTCATCATCATCATCATCTATTTCTCCTTCGTTTATTGATTCTTTGACATAATTCTCTGAATCACTTTGCAATTGATTTCTATCCTGAACCTCTCTATCATCAGCATCATTATTAGTAGTATTATTATTATTAGCTTCAACTTTATTAATGTTATTCATATGTATATCGTTATTAATCATTTTGTCATCTGAGTCATGCTCATTATTCTTCGATTCTGTAGTGATATCTGAGGGTTTATCCTCATTTTCAATTTCCAATGAGGTTTCATTTTCTTCTAATTGATTCAAATGGATTATTTCATTGTTTTCTATAGATTCCTTATTGAGAAAATTTGAAATATTTAAGGAAAAAATACATAAGAATCATTGGATAAATCTATTTTTATCAGTATAGGGTTGTGGAGATTATAAAGTTTATTGAGTGAGATCATGAACCGATCGATGTAAGATCACCATGGAAAACCTGGAAGAATTGGACAGCCGTTTCGTTCTAGTATAGGGCTTCTCAGCACTGCGAATCCACGGTCCTACTCGTGGGCTTCAAACCTGGGATCTTCGGTCTTGAACGCGGATGTTTAGCCTTTGGACCACTGAGCCGGCCAGTGTCCAATGGTGTTTATATCTATCTTCAATCAATCTACGAAATTTTACGACCATCTTCCATTGTACTGAGGTAGATACCTATCTCTATCTGATACGGATTAGCTCCACTTGCCATGGATAACACGATGGAGTTTGGAGCGAACGAATGAATATGAACTCTGGGATACAAGTACATCCGGCTGACAAGTCTCGTGTGCCATTATTACAATCAGATGAAACTACCATGATAAATAGCAAGAATGGTTGAATTGTTGAACATTCACAGAAGTTAGGGATGTAAAATATTAAATGTTAATTCAGCGATCAGAAGGTCAGGCGCTTGTCACAGGGTTTGGTGGTCCTGAGTTCGACTTTTAATGAAATTGTGGGCAGGTACTGTTGAGAAGGCGAAGAAACGATTTACTGTTTCCTAGGATTGCAATGGTTATCTAACAAAGGTTATTTTGTGATGTGGAATCTCATGTCTAACGCGATTTCTGAAAATAACTTATAATCCTTTGCTCAATGTTCTCTCACACTTCTTGAGTGAAATCACTGAATTTATATTACTGTATTACTTGTATTAGAAAGCATTAGGTATGAAGAATATGAGCAGGGAAGAAAGAGTGAGTGAATGGAGCAAAATGTAAATGAATATTGTGAAGCTCAAGTTCTAAAGAAAGTTTAATATTGAATGAATCTGCACGATTAATACCGATTCTCAGTTATATCAATCAACATTTCCAGCTATTGAGCATTATTAAGCCGTGGAACACGACTAGATAGTTCATACTTACCTACACGGTTCAGTGCAACAGTCAGTTACTTCATGGATTGACGTCAAGGTTTCAGTTTAGCCCACTATCTTTCTTCCAACTTACCCCTACTACGATAACCAGTGCACGGCAAGAGAACCAATGGTTATGACATTTATAATACATACCTCAGGCACCTCAATTGATGGAGATTCATGACCTCATCAGCTGATATGCCATTTCCGCATAATAATCTATCTCTAAATTCAGCATATATATGAGCAATGCTTCGAAGTCGTCTATGATCAGACGCTAGTAATCAACGAATGCCCTCTTTTTTTAACGTCTTAATCTTACAAATATAGAATAGAACATTGTGAACATATTATAATAATATGAATCAGTATGGAGGGTTTGTGGAGATTGTAGAATTTTTGCAGTTTAAATCATGAACTAGTCTTAACTACACCCCCACCTGTAGGTATTGGAGGGCTATTTTGTCTCAGTGTGAGACTCCTCATCAGTGAACATTCACAACCCCACCATAAAGAATTGAACCCAGGACTTTCAGTCTCGCTTGAGAACGTCTAGCGCTGACATGATATTTGATGGTGTTAATGTCTAACTTTAATCATTTCGTGATGTTTCCTAACCCTCCTTTACTGATGGAAGATGGCAACGGTCTTTCACGCGGCAGGCACACGTGAGTAAAATAAAAATCCTCGGTTATATTCCCTGGTCCGGAGTTGTAGATGTGTAATACTGAGGATTTGCATACTTACTTACTTACGCCTGTTACTCCTCGTGAAAAAGCATAGTCCGCTCACCTGCACTCTCCATCCAGAGTTTCGCTAACAAGAGTGATTGGATTGCTGTTCTCCGTGTTGTATTTGAAGACCTTGGTTTTTTTCTTGTGTATGTTGCAGCCTATTGATTTAGAGACTGCTGCTACACTGATTGTCTTTATATGCATTTGTTAGTGTGTATACGATAGAAGGGCTAAGTCATCTGTATAGTTTTTAAATTATATGCTTATTCGGACAGTAACAAGTTGTTAAACCTATGTTTGTAAACGTTTACATTTGATTACTGAATTTTATAGAACTAGTTATATTTCGGTTAGAAATAAAACATTCGAAGCAATAAGCGCTAGTCAGTCGGTCATAATCAATGTGACACCTAGTATCTATGGGTTTAAGATAGCAAACCAAATTGACCCATCGAAATGAAACTGACAAGGGTGTATAAATAATATCAATTCATAGTAAGAAAGTATATACATGAGAATATGGTTCAAAGTATGGGTGTAAAATGAAGGAATGACAAATAATAAAACTGTATTTAAACTTGAAATCACCGTGAGTGAGATTGGATGAAATAATTTTGAAGAGAATAAGAAACTCTATGTGAAAAAAACTTAGATGTCTATTCTTAACTATGTAATAGCTGTGACCAGTGGAGTTCAACCAAGTCTATTGCGAGATAGTAAGTCATTGGAGACAATGGTGGACGGTGGCGCGATTCCGTGGATTGGTTGAAGTTATACATTAACGCTGCTGGATGCTGACCGGTTTAGAAGTTAAGTGTTCACAGGCCAGACTGATAGGTTCTAGGTTCGAATCTCGCCAGGTGGGATTGTGGATGCACACATCTGAGGAGATCCACAATAGGACAAAACGGTCATCCAGTCCTTCCAGGTTTTCCATGGTGGTCTAGCTTCAATTGACTCATGACCTAAACTGCCGAAATTTATATAGACTGTCCAAAAACTTACTTTTATTTCAATATCTCTTATTTTTATATAATTTTTTAAACAGCGACCCAAATAATCGATTGGATCCACAGGTCGTTTAATTAAGACTTCAGCTATATACTGACGTAATACTGATCCAACACATTCAATCAAATATGAAGTTTCTGGTCCTCGTAGTTCTCCACTTCCACTATCAAAACTAAGATAAAAACAAAACCAAGACTGTAGTTCATATTATGGATTAAGTTCAGCTTAACAATCATTAGAAATCAATAAGTAATAGATAGTTTATTTTTATCCTGCTTTGTGACTCCACAGGAATATGAACACAGAAATTCTCAACAAGGTTTTAAGGAAGTGAACAATATACTCAAACCTCCTATGTTAGAAACGATAGTTGCTAGGGAAGTAAACCGTCCCTATAAGCATACAAATCATAACAAATATTTGATATATTAGGAGATATATACTTTGTGTTTATCAAAAATACGAATGTATTTCACTCAGTCATTTTACTAGTGATAATATCAATCGTAAATATTTTAAAGAAATTCGTTAGTTTCCTTTCAATCATCATCGTTGTAATTTTCTCTCTTTTATCACGATCCAGCTAATCCTATTGCTTAATATTCAAGGACGCCAGTTCACTCGACAAGTCCCCAAATCAGAATACGGTTAAACAGGAAAGAGATTACATTACAAAAAAACAAGGTAAGATGGAAGTAAGAAGCACAATAGGAAAAAGATAGTATATTTCTAGTTTTTACATGAGAAGATTTCTAGAGTATTCTTCAAGTATCGACTAGCGCTGATTGGATAAGAATTAGTCAATCAGCGTGCATCAACGCAATCGTGCGTTGGGCGTGCTTTAATCCAATCTATATCTCGCTAAAAATCATCATTATCGTCAATCATCATGATTACATCAAAATACTTATTATGGCTGTTTTGAATTCTTGAAAATAAATGCTAAAGAATTCGGTCCAATTATCCATACTATTTCTTAGTAAAAGATATTTATCTCGAGGTAGTCTGGTATACTATCAATCTTAGGTTATAAGGTGGGAAAAGTGCTTCTTGTAACTGTCAAAGGATAATTAATTTGGTTGATATAGTATCCAAAATATTAGTTTCACTAATAATCCTATTCCTAAATAGAACTCGTGAGAAACAAATCCGAAAAAACCAAAGTGTTTTCAAACATGGCAGTCGATATATTGAATAAAAATTCATCATCTGTCAAATTCTCAAAGATAAACATAATTTTTGACGTTCAACCATAAATGTATTTTTTTTACCTTAAGGCAGAATTTAATTCTGTCGATTGAGAGGTTCTGTGACAGTGTACGTCATTTAAATACGTATCAATAAAGTAATATAAGCTTGTACAGGTTTTCTACCAGAAACATTTCTTGTCGGGCCAGATCTTACGGACAACCTCAAGTGGTGCTCGTTACGGTTGTCCAATTTTTTATATTTTTATTCAACCTTATTATAGACATACTTTTAAACGTAACGCTTTTATTATTTAACTTTTCGGGGATCGATCTTTTATCAAGAGATTCACTTGTTGACTTGAAATAATCAGATAATATAGTTATGCTTTGTGAAGACATTGACCAAATGCACTATTCAGATCACCCAAGGCAACAATTTAAACAGGTTTCTCTTCTTTCAAATGCATGATTTTACCTCAGCACTGGTTTGCGTCAATACCTGAATTAATGATAGGGATGAAGCAATTGAGTGAGTTGGTTGATTCACTTATCTCCGAAATCTCATCAGTACTGATGATCTGGTATTTGACAAAATCTCGGCACGATGTAGAGAGCTCGATCAGCCACTACCAACTTGCACCACTTGTTACTTAAGAGAAATATCCTTCTGTCAACCAGAACTAGATGTTACTGTGAAGCATTTGGATCCGTGAAATATAGCCATTAAAAAAAGAGGATATTCACGGGTTATTAGTATTCAATCATACGTATCTTTAAATCCGCGCGGGGAGTTTTAGGATCATCGAGTAAACAGTGTTCAGGTTAAGGATAATGCACTAGCCAAGTATGGTGAATCAGTTAGTGAATCATCATAAATTGACGTATGGAACGTGAGAAGGATCAATGATTTCAAGAAATCAACGTTAAAAAAACGTACTGAAGTTCGAAACCTAGGAGAATCGAGAGCTTAAATACATCATCGCTATTCTGATTGATTAAGAGTGATGTCATCGACGTTTTCAATAACTGACGCCTCTATCTCGATAACAATAACCAGGTAGTGCGCATCTTTCAACATAGCTCAAAAGAATGATTAATGATTTTGTGGACTGTAAAAATCCTCTCTTGACCGTCCCTAAATCTATTTTGACTCACTTCTACAACAGTCAATACTGGGCATCAAGATAGACGGTGATTAAGTATTCGATAAAGATTCCCAGCTGCATCAAGAAGCATGTGACAGCTACCTAGTGCCTTTGCCTAGTCTCGAAATTAGTCACTCTCGTTCCACAATACAGATGTTGTGCTTTAAAGGTATTCGATCAAATGTCTGAAACAAATTGGTTTTTCTTGATTTTCATGGTTCATCTTCTTGATTCATAGGTCCAAGCGGATCTGATTGTTTATTAATAAGAATAATCGATTGACTGTGACAAATTCGTAATTTTCACTGTCAAAGAATAAAACCATCTACTAATAGTCACTGATAGAGGCTATCTCTCATACATTTTAAACACATTTATATGACAAAAACAGACAAGTTATTTTCAGAGTGCAATGCGATTTTTTTTAAAACGTTGAGGAAGAACTTTCTTAATTTATTAAAAAGTTAGTCATTTTAGACTAAAGGATAGAAAATAAAAATGAACTAAGGGACAAAACAACTTCTTCCCCAAATTTTGTCATCATTATTTCATTTGAATACTATTGTCATCATAGTAACTTACTCAGTGTCCATACTTGTGACGTTCAGGTTTGCGTCTAGCTTAACGGTAGGTTGTGTTCTTAAAAAGTGTGTAGAGCAAAGTATGAGAGAATCTGAAAAAAGAGCAAGAAGAAAGTATACACTGGGGGATAAATGGTAAGGCATTCATTCCGGACTCATGTACAGATTTTAGCATAGCCATGCCTTTTTCAGCTAACTGCATACAACATTTTTAAGCGTAACTACACTTCAAACTTACCATCACGCTTCTGGATAATAAAGAGTAACATTATCCCTTTTTATTTGTTTCAGAATATCAATAAAATGAGCGAACAGTGTAATGGATATGGTAAACAATAAAGCTTTAACACAGACCAAAGTGATAGAATGTGATTTCTATCTGGATTATCAGAGTCCTTTATTTGATATTACGTGTGAAAATACTTGACGTAGTTTTTGATTTTTGTGCCAATTTGTATTTTTTCCAAAAACCACCCTCATGTTTTTGTGCAACTATCACAAAATTAACCAGAGCTAGGTGCAATTTGACCAAAAGTTACAAGTAAAAACACGGAACGCATCCACATGTAGTAAAAAAAAGCCATCGACAACAATTTTTGTTAATGTTGATTAATCAGCATTGATACAAGCGTAATCGAGGGGAGAAGCTCGTAGCATAAAGTTTCAAATGTGTACTTTTAGCTGTGTTTATCTAGTCTCAAGGTACTTTGTGTACTGCAGAGTATGCAGAGTAGTGAGTAAGAAGGATAGGAATAAAATGATGGAAAAAATAAAGGTTACCTTTATAAGTTGACGATTAAGCGAGCACACACAATGCACTTACACTTAATAACTGAAGCAATCAACAACAAACAGGAATAGCACAAGCCTCAAATTGGGACAATCCTGGAATCTAAACAAGAAGCAGATTGTCGAACTCAATATTGTACTTTACTTTTGAACTCAGCGGCTACATTTTGTAGTCATGTCAACACTGAATTTGTTAATTATGGTTCAATTAATCACATTCAATATCCACGCTATATTTCACTGTATCTAATATGTTTGTCATGAGCTTGTATAAACTGACGACTTATAAAAAGCTACTTCTTTTGTCGTCTTAGTGAACAATCAGGTCTTGTCTTTGAGATAGGTTTTTGGATATCAACTGCTATCACATTATTATTGTAGGGTAAATAAACCCCAAAAATAAATTGTTCTGTAGGTCTTCGACATTGGATGCTGACCAAACTAGTTTCAATGAACTCACCTAGCTGAAAGCGCTTGGTGATGCATCCACACTAGATCACGAGGTTGGTTGTTTTCTATGTGAAATATATTTAGTGATAATTCGAGTGATGTATGAAGATTGTTTCAAGAAATAATTAAATAAGTGTGTTAACTAATTTCTTATTCACACAGTGAGAGAAAACCGAATTGAAAGAATGAGAACAGGAACGAAGATGACAATTAGCGAAACAGAAAACAGTTACTGATATGGGGCAATGAAGACCGTCGTAAACTATGAGACATATAACACATACAGCTTTTTTCAATCGACAGATGGTAACCTGTAAATGAGTGTGTGTTTGATACATCTCATCTTGAAAGTATCCACTGAGGGTTTTTTGGTCAATCCGGAGGAACTTTTGATAAAAGTATCGGCGTAGTTGAACCTCCGCCTCGCGACGCGTTATTGTGGTATTCTGGAAGTATGGTCGTGTTGGAGTGACTTCAAGTAATCAATATGTTGTCTGCCATTATCAGACCACGCCTTATTCTCCTATATCTCGGTAAGAATAATCCAAGGTTTTGAGGTCTGTCTGTAATATTCTCGTTTTAGCGCTTCCATTTAGTTTTCTTTCGCTGTATCTGATCTAAGAACTTTTTTCGGAGAGTGCAACAATATTTTAGACTTCAAGGTGGTCTGTAGGTTTTAAAAAGAGTAAAGGATATTTTTCGAATGATAACGTCGAATTGTCCTCTTATAAAGTGAAGATTTTCGTCTACTTCGATTAAATCCCCTATGTAGTTCAAGTTGGTGTCTAGTCTATCTGTGGTTAGAAAACTGAGATCACTTACCCAGAGCACAACTGTAGCGTATTTTTTATAGATGACAACTTTTTTTCATCAAATGAAGCGAAACATCCATCAAATGACTTTTAAACAGGTTACGTTTTGACCTGTTGTCTACAGTTCATTCCCCTTTTGTTGCAAGGTACTTCAGAAGCTCAGGTGTATTCTTTTTGCTTTCGACGGACCTCAAGATTTTTGTATCATCTATCGATCTGATTTCATCTTAAAGGTCGACAATGAAGATCAGAAAGAGAAGCAAAGCTATGGTAGCTCAATGTAAAGCCCTTCAACTTGAATGCACTCGATTAACTTGATGTGAAACAACCGTTCTCCAGGTAGTTTCGGAAATAAGATAGAAGCGGGTCGGTAAAACCCATCTTTTCAAGCTTCACTATTAGAAATACGTGCACTACAGTGTCGAAGGCTATTGTTAATGAAGGGAATATCAAAAGGACCGGTATCTTTTGGTCCCAGCAGAATGTCTGGCTGTCCCGTACAATGCAATCCTCAGACACAAAAAACAAAATTTTCACGAACCTTTGTTGAACTCAACGAATGACGTTATTTTTGCCACGCGTTCCATCATCCGATCAATAGCCAGTTTTTTATTGGCCCTTGACAGAATTGAAAGTAATGAGACTGGTTTAAAAGTAGTATGAATCTCTTCTACTTTCTTTGAAGAATGGAAAAGGAACATCTTGTTTCCATGTTTTTTAGATGTTATGACGCTACTGAGTATCTGAACATACCACACAACTGATTGCTGTTAGCATCAGCTCGCTACTTCGGAATTTTAGAAGGCTGTCTTTGCATCCTGTATTGAGAGTTAGATGAATATTTCCCAGCCCGTCGGCTAACACTATGGACGAAGAAAGGTTCGCATTTGGAGGGCCTTTGTTTTGTTGCACAACGAAGTTGGCATAATCCCTAAGTTGGTAAGATTTTCACCAATAAGCCCTTAAAGAGGACAGAACCTCTTCGTTTGTGGATTTTCGCTTAGTTATGAACTTATAGAGATATATTGGGTTGGCTTATATTTTAACTCTTAGCTTGATCTGGAAAATTTTCCTGTGGATTCGAACTTTTAACTTCCATCTGTTCATCAATGATAAGCAAACCTAAGTTTGAGATCTTTTAAAGCACTTCCATTTGTGCTGGGCATCAATTTTGAACTCTAGTAGGCGTTCTGTGTATCGTTTAACCTGGTGTGTTGTAATCCCGGATATTTATTTCGCTTGAGGTATATCATGTAGGATGACCTGAACAGTAACTCATATTATCTTTTGGTGGCCATCCACTGCTGAATTCCACCACTCTTGTGGCTACGTAGAATGTTGAAGATGCTCTCTGAATTCATGAAGCTTGCTCTGGTATAACAAGTGAAAGATGCACTCTTGCTGAATATAACATTTTCACGGTCACTACTCCTTACTAGTGCTTCAAAATGTTCATCTTCGACCAGATTCTGATCACTAGTTAGTAAATAGTCTAAGTTTAAGCGTTTTACGTCTCTACAGAACACGTAATATATAAAAAATCTTATCTATTTGTGATGTCATCGGTATAAGGTTTTTCCCTTGGTTTTTTAAATGTTTGAAAAAACGAAATTTGTTTTTGATAAGAATTTAGTAGATCAAGTACGCTGACGGAAGTTTAAATTCACCTACATTTAGGAACAATTTGATATAATTTTGAAATGTCTCTGGACAAGTAGCCGTTGAGATATCTAAGTTTCATCGCTCTCATAAAATCCGATAGGATTGTAGTTAACCAAAATCAAACCTGTGAAGAATCTGGCTACAGACAAATTCGAACGTTTTACCGGTTTCTTGTGATCATCTGCGGTCAGTGCGATAACAGCCTCCATTGAATTTGACTTTAAGATTGTAATAGTCAGCTAAATGGATATTTAAAAGCACATTCGAAAATTTCAAGACTGACGTAGGTTCATACATTTTTGCCACGGATTTTTCCATGTGATTTGCTAGCACAGAGTAACACTAGTTAGAATATTATGTGAAATAAAGAGGATGAATAATTTCCTCCTTTTCTAATATTCTCCTGACAGCCTCTGTACTAATTTATGGGTTATCATTGCACGTATTATTGTATAGTCATCGAGTGATTAGATTGCTACCCTTATGTAATCAGTATTTTGCAAGCTTTCGTTCAGCATTCTAACTAATATTACGCAACCTGTTATTCTTGATTTATTTCACAATAATAATTTACGACTTGATTACATTGTAGAGGTTAACCAAGTTTGTTGAGATAAATTTCCTCTATATTCGACTCCAAATAAAGATATCTCATTAACCGAGTATTTAATACAGGCTTAATCTCCTAGTAGAATTATCGATTTACTCGAGATCATTAAAAAGCCCAAAAATCAGTTATAGAGATAGTTTATTGTGAAAGCTTGGTAAAGTCCGCAAGCATACAGCAAGCAAGCACCGAGTGAGTCAAAAATCAAAGTGTGTGTGTCTGTGTTAAAAGATCCATATATTTTTTTGAGTATCAATCAAGTGTAGATAAATTATTGATTATCTATGTGTCACAACCAATGGGGAATAGAATAGGGATAGAAGTGCAGACACACGCTCAATCATACTCTTATGGAAATTAACACAGTTGTGTAGACAAATAATACATTAATGGAATGGGCTTGCTACATAAGCTCCCATCCAGAACATTGATGTTTTTATTTACAAAAAAATATTTATTAACATCTATGTTCGACAAAAAGATAAAAAACGAAATTGTCTTTAAAGTAAATGTACAATTTGATATGATGATGAGTAAGCGTTAAGTTGTCATAACAGCTTGTGTGTTGAAACGCTTTGTATCATGTATGTATAAATGTATATTTAACATCAACGAATTTCATAAAGTTAAAATGTAAGCATAATGAAGATCCGTGGGACCAATGAAATATAGTAATGAAAATAAAGAAGCAT